GGTCCAAATTTTTTGTTAAAAAAAAAAAAAAAAAACGGAAAGAAAAAGATATTGCCATAGAGGGATGTTTTTGTTATGTATCCAACACACGTCCCACTGTGCACATTTTGTCTTTCCCAATATTAGGGGATAACGTGGTCCGATAACCTTTTTTTTTCCGCATTTGTCTTTGCCAGTATTGCCGTTTCCCAACATTTTGTGCACATGTTTGTGCACATATGGTGCACACTGCACAATCATTATGCTTGAAATGAATATGAGGCCCATAATGAGGGGATGAACTTTTTTTTTTTTTTCTTCCGCAAACTGAAGTTTTATTATAATGCTGGGAAACGGTCCCATAACCGTTGGAGACCCTGAAGCAGCAAATTGCTGCAATTGTCATGCCTGGTAATTGTTTCAACTTCTCAATATTATTATTAGGATTATCAATAATTTATTATTGTTGTTATCATTATTATAATTTATAACTACTTTAAACTTTAAACTTTAAAACCACCACTGCCCCCGAAGTTATTTTAAAAATCCTTGAATCCTATGTACAAAATGCCAAACTTGATCCACCAAGGCTAAGATGCTAGTGTCCCAATGGGACACTCGGTTTCTTTTTTTCTTTTTTTCCAGAAAGCAGACATCATCATCTGTGAGTAGGATTGAAGGGCGGACATAAAACCTCCCATGATAAACGTTTGCGTCCTCTTTGTCCTGGATGTATCTTACTGCGTTCCAGTCCAGAGAGCGGCAAATTGAGTGCTAGTGGGAGCACCAGCTCACTGTCGTTCCTCCCAAAGGGCCGTGAATACTGGGGGACGTTTTACCGAATATGCAAATGAAAATTTGGAGAACACACACACCCACCCACCCACACACACACACACACACACACACACACACACACACAAAGACACACACATACACACACAAAGACACACACACACACACAAAGACACACACACACATGAGGTTTTGGTTTTGTGGGCCGATGCGGAAGGCTCTCTGAGTTTTTTTGGACCTTTGAGGGGGTGGGGTCGGTGCCTTCTTGCTGGAGTAGTCTTCTGTCTTAGGCAAGTTGCCTTCTGCCCTCCATCCCCTTATGGACTATGAAACATATATGTATACCATACTTGCGGCGCATCAGTGCGGTGCGCGATGCGGTGCGCACCTGTGCCGTGTGCGCACTCGTGCGCGATGCGCGCGCACTGATGCGCAGTGCGCTGCGCGGCACTCCGGTGCGCTGGGGCGTGCGCGTGATGAGCGCACTTTCGCGCATGGTGCGCCGTGGTATACATGGATTTTTTTTTTTTTTTTCTACATGATACACATACGGGGAACCCCAGAGAGAGAGAGAGAGAGAGAGAGAGAGAGAGAGAGAGAGAGAAGAAACTGTGTGCTGACACTATCGGACCGAAGAAACCGCCCTTATCAACGGGCAACATGAATCCGGAAGCGGGGCGACATGCTCAAAGGACAAATAATATGGCGGTGTATCTTTCCATGTTCTGGCGGAAGATTCATTGGGTGGTGGAGAGCGAAGGGCCGATGAATCAGGTGAGCACGTAACGTATCTCTGGAAGCTTTTTTTTTTTTTTTTTGGAGAATCTCTGAACAAATGAGACTGAATCCTCTGCTTGAAGATGGAAAGATACATTTCCATATATGTCTTCTTGTGCATGTCGAGAGTAGTGCAGCGAGCCGGTTGGTAAACATTACCCTTGAGGTTCTGACAGGTTGGACGCGCCGGGCTTCACTCGTGCAAAGAAATTGGGCATCGCCACACCACTCTCGAAATTTGCAAAATGGGGATGAACTTCCCGCTAGAACACGACCAGATGCCCCCGCCACATTTTTGTCTTTTTCACATTTCGAGAGTGGTGTGGCGAGGCCCATTCTGATGTTCTTCCTTTACATTTTTTTCTTTTTATTAAAAAAAAAAAAATCCAGGAAAAACGGCTGCCAGTTCCGTCGTTTTCTACTTCAGAAGTAATACGAAGAGAACGTTTTGAGAGATCGGGACCCTCATCATGACTGAATCTGGCCTGCAAGAACCCTACCATACAGACTGCAATTACCGTTGAGGTTCTGACAGGTTGGACGTGCCGAGCGACACTCGTGCAAAGAAATTCTTGATTTTTTTCCATTCCAGGAAAAACGGCTGTCAGTTCCGTCGTTTTCTACTTCAGAAGTAATAAGAAGAGAACGTTTTGAGAAATCGCGACCCTCATCATGACCGAATCTGGCCTACAAGAACCCTACCATACAGACTGCAATAACCCTACCATACACACACAGTGTTACCCGAACTACAGATTACTAAAAGCTTGCGGGCCAACGCGCGGCCTCCAAAAAAAATCTGGCTGCCCGTTTCTTATTTTACGCGAGCAGGGGGCCGGGTCTACTACCGCCCCTCACAACTTTTTTTTTTTTTTTTGACCCCCATTTTTTGAGGTGCTCCGCATGCAGTGCGCGCGCGTGGTGCGGGATGCGCCGTGCGGCGCACGTGCGCAGTGAAGCGCATCACGATGTGCCGCATGTATGATGTATACATATGTATATGTGCAAGTGTGCCGCTTTGGTGGCAGACGGGTGTGTGGGCACTTGGTGCTGAACCACGCAAACGTGGCCAACCTTGCATGTCTATTATATTAGCTATCTATACCTTTTTGTTATGGATGGATGTTGTGTCTGATTTGTGGAGGAAATGAGAGAGAGAGAATTTGGGGTACTTTAACACACACACACACACACACACACACACACACACACACACACACACACACACGTGGGCCTGCTCCTTTCCGAGGACAAGTACCGTTTCATCAAAACATTACAGTTGTGGAAACATTACACCGATACGATAATTGAAAGTATACACATATAACTCAATAGAAGACTATAAATTTATAAGGTGCGGCGGTCTCAATTTTGGATCTTCTGATCTTGGTGGAAAAGGGGTTGTTCTGTTCTGGTGACAGTCTGTAATGTGTGTGTGTGTGTGTGTGTGTGTGTGTGTGTGTGTGTGTGTGTGTGTGTGTGTGTGTGTGTGTTGTCATATTCGCTATGCAGTGCATACACTAAAAAAAAGCATGACTGTGTCAGACTATTTAGTCGGACTTTCACCGACTCATCAGGAGGTTGAACCCCGGCAGTCAGTCTGCCCAGGATTCATTTGACTGATGGATAAGGACTCACCACATCGCCCAGAGATTGCGATACCCCCCTGAGCGAGAAAAGTGGTCGACTTTACTCACACCAACCTTGCAATCCTAGCAGACTGCAGGTCCAAACCCTTGACAAGAATGTGTGTGTGTGTGTGTGTGTGTGTGTGTGTGTGTGTGTGTGTGTGTGTGTGTGTGTGTGTGTGTGCATGTGTTTTGTAAGCAATCACCAAACACCATCCCCAAAACCATCCATATCCATTTAGCATGGCCACGTTTGTGTGGTTAAGCACCAATTGTCCAAACACAAGCCCGCGTTAAAGGGCAACACTTGCACATATGAAAAAGGGGGTGGGCAGGAAACGGTACTCATCAACCGGCTCTCAAGAGCCAAAGACAATCATAGGTCAGTATACTCATCAATTTGCAGAAATCAATTTGCAGAAATCAATTTGCAATCAACTGTAAGCATCCCAAAACAAAAGCCCGACTGTTATACCATCCGCTCCCCAATCAGCCGAAAAGCAGCGCATATGAATGGAAGGTCTGCGGCGACTCTGCGCAGCACCAGGAGCCCCACCGGCTAAAAAGCTCCGACGGCTGCACCAGTACTGTTCCAAAAAATCAGGCCCCAAGGCCCCCCATCAGATATCCCGGCCTTGACGAAATCCCTCTGAGTTAGACCGCGAGCTCCACAAGCCAGACCTTACTTACACCCGCAGACCTTTGCATGACACCAGGAGTGCCACTACTTAAACCACAAGTACACGGCCCCAGCCTAAGAAAACAAGGCCAAAACGTCAAACGCTGGGCCTGCCGTTGATAAATTTGATCAGCGGTCGTATTTTTGTTTCGCGCCTCCAGAATTTGAGTTGTCAGGCCCGCGGCCCAGGTGCCCATGTACTGGTGCTTTAAAGCGACCCTAGAGTCCTGGTCCTTTCTCCATGTGCTCCCCAAAAAAAACAGCAGCCCATGGGGATTGCACCCACAGCAAGCACTCTGAACCTCCTTGCAAAAGCACAAGACTGAAATGAAATGGAGTACCAAGAAACACCAGTACAACTGTTTCGCCGGATTTGCACCGACTCGTCACTTTTTTTTCAGTCTTGTGCTTGCGTTTTTTTTTTTGCGGGGGTTCTTTCTCAACAATCTGCAGAATCCCCATAATGATATTAATGATGCTTTGAGTCATGGACTCTTTTAACCCCTGCTGAAGGTGGACAGTGCACATGGAACACCACATTTGCACACAACTGCTCGGGCATTTTCTCAAAAAAAAAAACAAAAAAAATGGGGCTGGCAAAGAGCAGTATACTTAAGCATCCTGCACTTAACAGCAAAATGCGATTATAAGTCAGTATATCACGTCACTTACTTCCACCAAACGAAATCGAAACAATAAAAAAACCATCCTGTTAACCAAGGCCCGACTGCCCTATCATGCTGATGTATAAGCACCGCCTGTGTTTGCTTGTTTCGTTGGTTGGTTGGTTGGTTGTTTCTCTCTCTCTCTCTCTCTCTCTCTCTCTCTCTCTCTCTCTCTCTCTCTCTCTCTCTCTCTCTCTCTCTCTCTCTCTCTCTCTCNGGCTGGTCTCACAGGCCAACCCGAGGTCCACTACAAAGGAAGCAAGGAAAACGAAAAATCCGAGATGCAGCTAAAAAAGAAGGACAAGGCGACTGATGCAGATATTACTCAGAAGAATGAAAGAGAACATCACCACAATACACCCCGTCTCTCTCTCTCTCTCTCTCTCTCTCTCTCTCTCTCTCTCTCTCTGTGTGTGTGTGTGTGTGTGTGTGTGTGTGTGTGTGTATCATGTGTGAATTGCTGTATATTGATGAAAGCATGGGGAGTTGGTTGAGACAGAGGGTTTTCTTCCAGAAGGGCCTATCACCATCGGAGTTACATCAGGTGCATCTACTCCAGATAAGGTATGCCTTTGTTCTTTTCCTTATTCTCTCCTTTTTTTCCCTTGCTTCCTTCATGTGTTGCTTAGTCGATTGCATTCTTTTCGGGTCCTCCTTAAGGATTCCTTCATTTTTTCGTTGTTGTAAACAGGCGAGTGACCCTAACACTATTGTATCCATCAGGGTTTGAGCTTTGGGCTCGTGATTTCTTTGTCGACAGGTGCATTATGACATTCTGTCCCCTTGTGGCTATGTCCCTCCCTTTCCACTGCTGCCTTGTGTAGCTTTTTTCCTGTCTTGGTGAAGACATTTGACTCACCAAGAAATTTCATGAAAATGGTCAGAAAATATATGAAAGCCCAGTCCACTAAGACAGACTGCAACCATTTAACCGAAATTACTGAATCCTTTCGGAATTGAACCCTTGACAAAGGTTTGTGAGCATGTACTACCGTCTTCACCCGAATAGAACGCGGGGTAATTATGGCCGTATATGGACCGAAAGTTGCGTCAAATACAGCTATAATGACCGGGCGTTCTATTCGGGTGAAGACGGTAGTGATATGCTGTGGTTGAAGGGTTGAAGTCTGGCTCTACCGTAGTGACCACCTGAGGGCCCCTCTGCTCACGCTGGCCTTCACTTAGGGCCGGCTTGCATTTTCCTGGCCCGCCTTCACTTAGACCGGGCAGGGCCTTTCTCAGCACAGCTGAGGCCCTAAGTCCTAGGTTTGTTCCATTGACAAACCTGGTATACCTTCGCATACTCGTTAGCCTATTCTATTGTATGCGGCCACCAGAACCGCTGCAACAGATTAGCATAAGTCCTTTTGAACACAAAATGACCCATGGCATCATATGACATCATATGACATTCTCCTAAAAATAAACTACGCAAGGAATCTTTATTGGGCACACACAATCTTTCTCTCCCTGCATTACTCAGGAACAGCAAACAATCAACCATTTTGAACTCCTCACACACCTTTCTATCTTGCGCAATGAGGCATCTAATGATCTCCTTCTGATTGTTGTCCTCCTGATAGGCATCTCCCAAGTGCTGACATACAGTCTCAGCAAGTCCAAACTCAATAACTAGCACCTCGACATAGTCTGCCCTTGTAGACATTGATGACATTGAGGCCCCTATAGTCAATGCACATCCTGAGAGTACCCCCCTTCTTCTTTGGTACGAAAAGAACTGGCGCACCGTAAGGAGAAGTGCTAGGCCTAATCCAGCCCTTGTCAATCAGTTCCTTTAGAGTTGTTTGTGAAGCTCACCTAACACCGTTGGAGATATCTCATAGATCCTTCCCTCGGGCATTTTATTTTACTTCTTTGGACGATCTCTATCGCATGGACAATCTCCCTATTCACAAATCCTGTTGGTTCCTCCTACAGGTCTGGATGCATTGCGGCGACTCATTCTATCTTTGGAGGGGTCTGTATGGCCTGCCCCTTTTGAGAAACAAATACTAGTTACATACCCTCCTCTCGGTGCTGCGTATAATAGTTGTAGAACGCACTAGCGCACAAACGACCATAAGAGTTTGCCAACTTTTGCAGACTATACTTCTTGAGAAAGACTATCCTCCGCTCAGGTAGCTCGTGCTTTATACTTTTCCTTTCCCAGTCGATCTGGGGCTTTGCAACCTCCAAGTAGTGCATCGCTAGGATTATGTCGAACGAGAGTTTGTTGCTGGCCAGAAACGACAACTGGTGTCTTCTCTTCCCCCTTCCCCGTAGGAGAAGGTGCACGCAACATCCCAGATGCAATCCTGCACCGCGATTGTTTGCTTGTTGGCCAAGGTAGATACTACAGGTCTACTCGGCCGCTGCACTTGGTCCTCTAAGCGCAGCCTATCTGTAAAAGCCCGACCAATATAGCTACGGGTGGAACGGATATGTGCCCGTCCAGCTGCTTTACGGCCACCTGCATCGACTTCCACTACAATCAGCTCACCTTTCGGACCCTCTGCCATCGTTACCCAGGAAGCCAGGAGATCTCTCTTAGACCACTCTTAACTCTAGCTCCTCTAAGGATTCAGTCACATCGTGCGAATAAAGCAACACTTGGTCAGACTGTGACTGAGGGGGTTTAGAAAGGTTAGTAGGTGTGGGACAGCGCTTCGTAATGTGGCCTAACTCGCCACAATTCATGCACTTCCCTGCCCAATGTCGGTCTTCCCAAACGGTCCTGTCAAGTCCCTCTCTAACCCATGGCGGTTGTCTAGAGGGCCTGCTTCTCTCTTGACCTTTCGCTGATCCCTTGGAAGGACCAGTTTCCTTAGCTTTCCACATGGCAGTAGCTCCTCCCTCCTGAGCGACTACATTGCCGTGTCCTCCTTGCTCTGTGTCATCCTCCAGGACTGAAACACCATCTACCTCCTCCTGATTCCCATCGCGATTTATAAAGAGGAGGTGACCTTTCTTCTTCCAGTCTTGGGGGCAGTCTCGTCTTCGCTTCCCTCCCTGTACCACGCTAGCATTCCTCAACTTAGCCTCTAAATCTATAGGCCTACTCTCATCCAACCCTGCCAGTTCCTCTCCATCTGCCTGTCTATTCTCCAGCAAGGTTTTCCTATTCAGTGCTATTCTTTCTGGTCCTTCAGCATCTTGCAATGCAGCTTATATCCGTGCATGCTGTGTGTAGCATCATCTTGATATGCCTGTTGCTCCAGAGTGAGAAGTAGGGGCTGGCTTGACTGTACACCAGCCATCTGCGTAAGCTGTGATCCCATGGAGAGACTCAAGACAGACTGCCCAGTGCCCTGACCCTGACTTGGCCCTGCACTCTGACCGGATGCGTGTGTGGCCATTGCTGCCAAAGAAGCCCTTTCTGCTAATCCAGCGGCTACTCTAGTGGCAGCAGCACAACAGCCTGCCTCCAGGTGGCAGACTCTCCTCTAAGCCTAGCTCTTCGTCTCCAGGTCCTAATGCTTGGTAAACGTACAGTAAGCTTTGATCACCTCTCCTACCATCTTCACCCGAATAGAACGCCCGGCCATTATCGCTGCATCTGGACCGAAAGTTGCGCCAAATACGGCTATAATGACCGGGCGTTCTATTCGGGTGAAGACGGTAGTCAACCACCTATCTGCTTCCTCTCCCTCACTATCCTCACCGCTCATGCGAACAGAAACAACTACTACTTACACTAGAACCGCCTGTTCCCTGTCCTACCGTAGTGACCACTTCTGCGAACAGAAACAACTCTTACTTACACTAGAACTCCCTGTTCCTTGTCCTACCTTACACTAGAACTCCCTGTTCCTTGTCCTACCTTAGTACATACAGAAGGTCAGTGGCCATATAGAAATAAATAATAATAATAATACCAGGCTAACATTATGAGCGGGGCTGATCCAGCGGTGGAACAGAAACTCTCAGACCTACGCAAATCACAAATGCTGTCTAATGAGCTCTGAAATTTACAACGGAGCTACCAAACGGACTTAAGTAGATTTCGGACGTGGCAGTTTACCGTCAATTAGGACTGGTAGTCTGTCTAGAGAACTAATCAAACAGCAAATGCGAAATTCTTCCTACAGAATATATTATATATCACGTGCGGAAATAGACAATGAATGTACAAGCGAGTTAACAGCCGGAACCTTACCCCATTCTGTCTACCTGACAGACTATCAGTGCAACATTATCCGGCAGCTAATCGTGAGATGCAGTGACTTACAGTGAACCGGCCCACCCTACCGTCTTAACCCGAAAACAAGGTACGTACCTTGTATAAGAATACAAGGTACGGGGTACCTTGTATTTGAATACAAGCTACGTACCTTGTAGAACAAATGTTAGGATGCAACTTTCCTAGGCAAGGGGAATGTATATATATATATATAGGGTTCAGCCTCCTGATGAGTCGGTGAAACTCCGACGAAACAGTTTGTCACAGCCCCTCGTTTGTTGTCCTCTTCTCTCTCTCTGCCTACGGTTTTACCGGGCAGTTCTGTATGTGACGATATATATATATATATATA